TGGTAGCCTTTATAAAAGTTGTCATTTGACAAGATAACTTTATTTGGATATTTTCTGCTGTATCAGAATCAGTTGTTAAATGGTTGCTCAAAATCGTTTGCAATGGCGTAGATGCATCCACTCTGTTTTCTCCCGAATTCTAATCTTCTGAGTTCTTCATGTCCTGTTTTTCTTCTTTCCAAGTTTATTTCACTGGATTATAATCTTTGAATATCATCTTCAAACCCTAATCTTTCCGGTTACTGGTTATAATTTTACTACTACGGGATTTGAATTGACAGTTGTATCTCTGTGCTAATGTGGTATGGCAACTCGAACTGATAAACGTACGTACGAAGTTCTACGTTGTTGATTACTGACTGCTAAATGGTTGGCTACTTGCTCTAAAATTGGCATCAACTGACTTTCTGTTTTTTTGAATAGTATTCATTCGACCTTTTCATACAGTTATTGAGAGGTGTATGTTCTTAATAGTGTGATCTTAAAAGCTCATGTTCCTAAGTTTCTTGACAATACACTTGACCAACAGATGTTAAGACAACCTTAAAGCAAATAAGTCATGTAATTTGTCGTGGCCACATATTTGTTTTCAACATAATAGGTCGTAAAAAGCGAACTTTGGTAGGCATTGAGTGTGTACACTTTTCGATTAACTAACAAAACAAAAAAGCTGTGCCAATTATCAAACACGAAATCCCTAATCTTATCATTCTGTTATTTGAGGGGTGGGCCCGCCCTCCCTCTCGAAATGCTCTCACAAGGCTACGCGTATACAGCTTCTACCAGGGAAGTCCTACTCACTGCCTTCTCGTGGCGGGGGTGTTGTCTACGAAAATGAGAGGACGAAAAGCGAATGTCCGGCGCTCTAACCGGATCCCAAACCAATCGTGCACATGGACTCCAGTATCCTGCGGGAACAAATGGCATATGAACCAATGGTTGGTCACCGGCTACCATGGGACTGCATCTCCTCAGGATGTCCCACTGCCTTGTGGATCGGACCTTTAGGTCAAAGGCTCGGGGTTTGGCCCCCTAAGAAAACCACCTGCTTCGGTTTGGGTACCCGGGAAGTATCCCAAACCATACATATTTGGCGCCCTCTCTTACCAATATTAATGTGTTGAAATAAATAAATAACATAATCAGTAGGCCTGGTCAGTGATGCTTTGATGTTGTTACGAAAGTTGTTCCTTTCTTTTGGGGATAATGGCCTAAAATAATTGTATGTAGTAAATTTATGTTGTAACTATCCTGTATTTTTACCACAAAATCTGGGCTTCAAATCCCATCACACTCATGTGTACTTGCTTGTTAGAAAAATATCTGGTTTCGTACAAGCTATTTGCACACACTAAGTTATTTCACGATTAAGTGATCCATTTAATATTAATCTTATGAAGTTAGATTTTTATAGATTAATTTAGACTAGAGTACTTGTCATTCTAGGTTATATATTTCCAAAGATTTTACTCTGTGGAACAAGTCAATCACAGGTGTGGTCATTTAAGCCTTCTTATCTCTTCATTAACTAACATCGACTGAAGAACTTATCTACACAAACCTTTGGCTGATCAAGATGTAATATTCTCATTCACCTATTTCCGCGCAAGGGTTAAAAAATGGCATGCTACAATTTAAAATTTAGGCATCTTGTATGTGTTAACGGATTTGTTATCTATTTATTTTGTCGTTGGTAGTAAAAACCGCTCAGTTTGAACACTAAAGAATACATATGTCCTAACAGAATAATATTAATGGGATACAAATTACTGCTAGCTCAAGGGAAATGACTATATTACTTTCTATCATCAGGGTGTATTATACATCAGCCGTAGTTGATGATTTAGTGGGCTTTGTGGACTGTTTTCCCATGAGCTTTGGCTAATTACTTTAACAGACGATACTTACTCCTTAGTTAAATCAGTTAACTCTAAATAAGTTCACTTATCTTGGAAATCTGGTCAGCCCTGATTGGTTGGTGCCTGACAAGATCTCTGCACGGATTCAAAAAGCTCGTTCAGCTTTTGCTAACTCCACCTATGGTGAAGGTGAGATCTGTCTAATAATTAAAGGACGAGTATACTGCACGGCAGTTCGTTCTGTTTTACTTTGCGACTGCGAAACGTGGTCATTAAGGGTAGAGGCTACTCGTAAGTTAGTAATAGATTGACTGCTTTAACTGACGACTATAACCAGGTTACTAAGTTCTATGTTCACTACTTTCTAACCACTTTATGAGACGTTTATTTGGTGTGCAAAATCTGTGAAATATTAAGTGGAATCTCATCGTAGCTTCTATCTTAACTTGATAGTCGGGTTTACCTACCGTAGTGACTCAACTGAGCCATATTGGCTGATACAAGTGTACCTTTACGTCCTACCGTGCCAGACAGGTCGGTTGGAGAATAGTAAGACTAAAAGCAGAAAATTAAGGTCCGAAGATAAGGTACTGCCAATTGTAGAGAGGTGTGAGAGCAGTAGGATGTTTCCCTCGGACAGCGTCTGCAGCGATGCTGCCTTCTCACAACGGAAAGAAAAGCTTAGAATAGGTCGATCATAAAAATGTCGCACTCCACCTTACCCCACGGATTTCTGTCTCCGGCGGTAAAATATTTTAAAGTGCGGAGCTAACACCGAAAACTTCCCTTGCGTTGTCCCTTGGGTTCTGCAGTCAAACTACCAAGTCTCTAAGAACATCACTAATTCGGCTTTTTTTCAAACCTCTCGAGAAGAAATATCCTTCAATGTATGGGCAGCCTGGAAGCGAAAGTCACCCTCATACCTCTGTCAGTACCCAAGATCATCTTATTGACGATGGGATCCCTCCTTCATCTCTTGATAATTCTCATATCCACACGACTAACCCTTCTCATATATTTTTATCATCATGCACCACTAATACCAATGATTTGAGTTCATGAAATTTTGCTACTGGTCTCCTGAGACCACTCTCTAAACTGCGTGTTGGGGATTTTAATGTACGAACCATGTGTCAGATAGGACAACAGGCTTCTTTAGTTAGGACTTTAGAATCTCAAGTAATCGTTAGAATGGATTTCAACAGACAGTCGCTTCTACAGTGTTCGATTAAACTGAACAGTAAGAACTTGAAAATTTGGTGACACGTCGTTTCCTTGTCGTTGTATCTGAGTAAGCTCTCACTGATTATAGCTTGGAAAAAGTTGAAAGTGAATTTTGTGTTATCCAACCTCGGTCAAAAAAGTAAACTCTCTGACTTGGTAATAGTGGCAGTTAATTATAATGTTCAAGTAGCTCAAATGAAGCAAACCAAAAGGCATCTAGGCGGATCTTACGTTGTCGTGGCTCAGCGAACAGATTATGGCGACCGTTTGTTGCAACTATGCCCGGATAACCGTTTAATCCTGTCAAACAGCAGCTTTAAACATAAGGAAAAGCATCATCCGATGTGGTGATGAACTTAAAGAGATCAGATTTCCATAAACCATCGTTATAGGGGGTTGATTGAACATTTTTACTCATTCTACAGCACATGCTTGGACTCAGATCATGCTCTAATTCGAGCACGTGTTTGTCTGCGTCTTACTGGACGTATAAAAGAAAACCCTTTAGAATTCAACTTAATGATGAAAAATTCAAGAGCATATTTCTGGACTAACTAGGGAAGGAGCCAGTTAATCGTCAAAATGACATCCATCACTAGGTAGCTTGGTATGATATCCCAAATGCTGTGGAAACAGCAGTGATATATACTAGTAACTTAAAACTAAAGGTTAGGAAAAATCAGTGGATTTCATCGGTGTTTACAGCATTAATAGATGCTCGGAAACTCACGCCTGGTCCAAAACACGAGGAGCAGATGCAGCTTAAACGTATGTTGATCAAAAGCTTACGTAACGACATTAAGCAGTAGTGGGTAGCGAAAGCAGAAGAGATGAAAAAGGCCACAGCGAAGCGTAACATTAGACAACTGTCCAGACTTATTAAGGAAACATGTATTTAAAATACGGCTGTTAGTGAAACTATCTTGGAAAAAGATGGGACTATTACTCATTGAAATGATGAGCGAAGCACTTTAGGGAACAGTTCAATTGGCATTCAGCCACACTTCTGTTACCCATTATCTCCAATCGACCTAAATGACAAAGTGATGTAAGTCCTTCAACTGTGGAAGGTTGTTAAGCCTATAAGTAGTCTAAAGTGTGAGAGCAGCTGTGTCCGATTAACTAATTCTTAAAATTCACAAGATTGGTGGCCCAGTTTTACGTATTAGATTGGCAGATCTTAGACAGTCTGGGAGCTGGATATAATCCATCTAATTGGTCTCGATCGCTGATCGTTTTAATCTATAAGAAAGCAAAAATCCTCTTTTAGCAACCACGGAAGAACCAGTTTAACTAATATAGTGTCTAAAATATTCGCCTCAGTAATACCTCAAAGTCTAACTAGAGCTCATGAAGGTAGAACCCAAAAAACAGTCTTATTTCAGACCTGGACGTGGATGTATAGACCAAATATTCATCCTTCAACCGCCTCTGGGATATAGACATACTTTTCGACGTCAAACTATTGTTGTATTCCTTGACTTTAATGCGTTGTTCAACTCCATTTATCTCGAGGTTCTGTGGTTCCCGTAACTGAAAGGTGTACCGACGAAGCAACTCAACTTTGTACAGACTCTCTACTAGGACACTACCTTTCGAGTCAGAGCTTATGGCCAACAATCATCGGGACTGGTTACTTTAATTGGTCTTCGTCAGGGTTGTCCACTTTCCCCAGTTTTATTAAACTTTTCTTAGACATACTTTCAGAGATAACAGTTTTATCGTCTGACTTAGGGATTGATCATATACCAGGAGATCCACTTGTTGACTTGGAATACGCAGATGATATAGTTCTGTGTGAAGATGCTGAAAAAATGAAGTGTTCTGACTATCTTAAGCAACAATGTTAGCATATTTGGGATGCTATTTTTTCTCTGCAAATGTAAAATGTAACTTCAGGATTGACTTGCGTCATTGCCTGAATTAGTGCTAGGTAGTGAAGTAGTTGAACGCACCCACTGCTTCACTTGGGCATTTCACCAGTGCTGATGATTTAGTGTTTGACGAAATCTCGGAACAGAACCAAAGAGCTGGTTTGACTTTATCCAACTTGAGTCACTTATGGTATGGGTCAGATATATGTCTCTTAACCAAATAGCGAGTTCAATGCTCAGCTATTTACTGAACTCAACTTTATGAGTAGGAAACATGGCCATTAAGAATAGAGGATATTTGCGGGTTACTAGTGTCTACTAAGTGTCTACGAAGCATTGCTCGTGTATTTTTGGGACCACAGAGTATGCGACTCCCGGGTTATGGATAGAGTGCTAGGTAAAGATAGTAAATAAATTGATGAGGTAGTAAATCTTCAACCCAGGTGGTCAGGACGTGTCCACCTCGACGGGCATTGTTTCCTGGTGTAGGGGTAGGCTAAAAGAAAATGAGAGATAACCAAGCCCAAGTATGGCACTAATCCATAAAGTCACCGACAATTTAACTTAATCATGTTAATAAATGTAAACTACCTGGTTGAGGTCCGCGCGATTATCGTTACTAATGATTAGATACTTTGAATAACATGGTTCAAAATCGTTTGCAACAGCGCAAGTTCATCCATTCCTTGTCAACCCCAAATTTTGGGGTTCTAGATTCCTTATAAGGTTTTGGTGTTTTTATTTCACTAAATTGTATTTTCGTCCCAAATCGTATCTTCGATACCTAATTTTTTCAATCACTGCTGATAATGCTACCAACTCTTCTATTGTGAGATCTGTGTTGACAATGTCATCTCTTTATGCTAATGAGATATTGCAACTTGAACCGATGTACATACGTACCTAGTTTCACGTTATGACTGACTGACTTGGCTATTGATCAAGTATTACTCTCTACCCTCATTTGAGTATCGTTAATTGTTGTAATTCCCACTCAACCCATGACTTCATAACTGCGTTAGAATTTGTTATACTGTAATTTTTAATCTGCTAAAGTAGCTCAAACCATAACTTAGTAGTTCACTGTTTAACAAATATATTTGTTGTGTTCGCACGAGCACGTCTTTGCCGTTCATTAGTGAGTGGGTAGATCTATATGACCTTCCTGAATCAGGTGATTTTACGTTGAAAACACCCATCACAAAATTTTCTTCCGTTGTTTGTTTTTTGTCGCATAACACATACAAATCTACAGAATGCAAACAAACGAACTTATTAATGGAATCACTGAGACAGAAGACAGTTCATATATGGAGAGTGGAACGGATATTTTGGATTTTTTAAATACATCTGATACAGAGAATGAAGATATAAAAGATATTATTGGAAATGAACCAGATAAAAGTACTGAAGAAGATCCATGCAATGAAGAAGCATCCTCATTAACACTTTCCATAACCAATGTAGTTGTTATGGCTAGTCTTCAGTGTCATTTACGATTGAAAGAAATAGCCAGAACTAGTGTTAATGTAGAATATAAACCGCTTCAGAATGTAAGTTTAGAGGATTTTTATTTCAGTTTTACAATTTTATGTATATTGTTGATTTTGAAGGACATATACTCCCAAATTATTTTAAGCTTAGTTAACTTACCTGGTAAATTACCTCTAGGTTCTCACGAGTAGCTAAATGTTTTTGTAATACTTTGTTTTGGCCCCCGAATGCTCTGGTACGACCGACAGATGGGAGAGTCAGCTCTCCCTCCCAAAATGCTCAAATGGCCACGTGCATACAACCACTGCCTTCTCGCGGCGGGGGTGTTGTTTACGAAATTGAGAGGATGAAAAGCGAATGTCCGGCTCTTTAACCGGATTGGTGCACACGAAAGGTCCACCTAGGGGAGTTGGAAAGCCCTGATTCCAAAACAATGGTGCACATGGGCCTAAGTATCCTGAAGGAACAAATGGCGTATGAACCAGTCGTTGGTCACCGGCTACCATGAGACTGCATCTCCTCACGATGCTTCATTGCCTTGTGGATCAGACCTTTAGGTCGAAGGCTCGGGGTGTGGCCCCCTAAGAAAACCACCTGCTTCGGTTTGGGTACCCGGGAAGTATCCCAAACCTCACACAAATCGAATGATTTGTGTGGCGCATATTTATTTGGTGCCTTCTTGTACCAATGTTTGTGTTTAAATAAATAAATGAATGTTTTGGTTATCCATTCTATTCATTTTATTTAAATACTAGTCGCAAATTGACCTAAGTTAAAATGCTGAAAAACTAGGCAATGCCAAACAATGTACATCACTTAAATTGACAGTTATGTGTGTAATTATATTTAACAACAACGACGGTACTATTTCTAAATCTGTTAACGTTCCAGCATTTGAATTTGTGGAAATCTATTTTCAATATTATCATAACTAGAAGTTTGAATAACATTTATTTTAATGAATTTTATGGAATGGTTCGATAGTTCCGTGGAGTTCTGGAATCAAGATAATATTAAAAAACCATAGAAAAACGTGTATTGACTATTTTTAAGATTTTTAAGATCAGTGTGCCTGGTTTCGAGCTACACTGTGTGATGACTAACGACATCCGGTTGTCCAAACAAAAGTGAGTGATGTAGGGCTCCAGCCTAGGATTTATTGGCTGAGTCTAACGCCTTAATCATTGAACCACGGCCCCGTTATTCATAAATTGACCTATCTCCAAGTACTGTGTTGTGCTCCTCCAGCTGTTGGTTTACACTTGAACACTGCTTTTTGATTATTAACATGATATCTTTATACAATTCCTGGTTTATAGTCAGTAGTTTGTTAATAATAATGATAATAATAATAACAATGTAATTTATTTGCCAAGTATGAGTATATGTATCAGGCTTTAAACCATACTATATGTATAAAATCTAATGATACTATATAGCTGCTTCAATATATGTCACCAATTTTCACTATTTAAATGCTGGTCAGTTAGGAAGTTTAATTTATTTATATGGTTAAATAATAGTAAAACATTGCCAGCCATTGTATAATAAATTTATAGATGTTCAATAGACTTTATTTGTTGAGTTATAGGATTAGATTCGATTACGTTGACTTTTTCTGAGCATAGAATTTCGTGATATTCATAACCTGTTTCCAATACTTATCATATATTTTCAAACCTTTACTATTATCATAAATTTTTTTTGGTTTCTCTTCATTTGCCTATGTTACTTGTAATGATTAAAATCGATGCACATATGCAGCAAGTTCTTTACTGTTTCTATGTATCTATCTTCTATTAAAGCTTATTATATCCTACTCAGTATCCTATGCAAATTCTCGATCTCGTCAATAATAATATCATTTAGATTCTTGGTAATTTGGTCAGAGGAGTGTAGTTAATCCATTTTGGTTGGTATTATCTGCACGATTGCAATTTTTGTTCAACCCTGTTTACATGATACAATCAGTGTGCATCACAACGCTGAGTATATATCGATGTTAATAATCAATAATATAGTCCTATTGTAACCATATATTGCTTAAATACAGTTATATTATACTACCTAGTTAAATGCTCCTCTCTTAATGTGAATCTTGATATAATCCCGAAAGATATTATTTTCTTCGAGTTCATTACCGTCTTTGTGTATCCGTTTTAAGTTCTCGATTTTTGAGAATTCAATAATATCAATATTTTTTATTTTGTTAATTTTCATAAATATACAGCATGTTATAATGCGCTTACGATCACCATATACAGTAGCAACAATTTGGTCTAGCGGAAAAATTTGGTGTACTGGAGCCAATTCGTAAGCAATAAGTCTCAGTAATTTTTCTGTGCATTCTTTTTCCCCATATAGCTGTACCAAATGTCAAACATTTTACTTTTTATCGGTGTCTATAATGTAGTATACCTGATCATTTCTGAACTGTTGTTTCGTATTCACTCATTGCATTAAGCTATTTGAATTTATTAACAACTGTATTTGAATATCCACGTTAGGTTTTTTGTTCTTTTGTGGTTTTAACTAATTGATGTATAAATATGTGTAATCGAGATGAATTAACCAGTGTGGTATTCATGGTTGTTCGCTAGTAATAGCACTTTGTCTGTGTGTTTCCAAACGTTGTACAAATTATAAATTCATAAACTGTGTTAGTTATTCAGTCTATTGGTATTTACAATTTAAAGAGTGATTTATTTGTAATACTGCGCACGTCATAAATATGATAGATATCTTACTTACATGTGATATATGACAAACGGAAGTATTTGTGTGACAGTAGTTTATAGGTTATATATTTAAGCATTCAAATGTAGAGTAGTAGATTAACGATTAAAACACTTGACTTTCAGTCATAAATACCATGTTGGAACTCTGCTACATCTACTTCGGTTTGAACAGTCGGGAATTATCGATAGTGTGATTTATGACGAAGTACATAAGCATGAACGTAGTAAGTTAAGTCACATTGATAAATTAAAGGGTTTGGATATATGTGTTACTCTCTTTCTTGTTCAGTGTTTGTTCGCCAATGTACGTCCGTCGAACTAACATTAATTAAAATAAGTTGAGGTTAAGTTTTACTTCAACTGTGTGTAGTTATAAAAACAGAAGAGCAATCAAAGCCAGTAGTCCGCTTCATTCGTTTATGCGACTGTGAACTGTTGAATTATCAGTTTACAATGAATGGTAACTTTATGTATGTAGTTTGATAGCTATGTTTTGAACAAGGACAATTTTATTAATTAGAGCGATGACACTGATTCATTAGAACATGTCTAATATATACTATTGATTACTCTGATAAACCATGACTTCTGGTTTGAAAACAGGCTGTGAAACTCCTCAGAGTTGTCTAACAGTCATAGTATTCGCTCAGGTTTGTGCGAGCTTCCCGACTGGGATTCGTCAGGTGTTAGGTAGACTGGTGTAACTAAATATGTCGCCTATTTTACCCGAGTAATTTTTCGTCGTCTTTCATCTCTAGCACAGCAGGTGTTATTCAAACTGTCAATCAAGGATTTCATGAGTTGTCATCACACTGGTTTGACCGATTGGAGATATTCTTTGTCATACTATTACCCTAATGGGTACTAAATATATGAACCACTGCTATTATTTAAGAGGTTTACAATATCATTCACCGGTTCGCTTACAATAGTAATACCAGTATTAATAAGGAAGCATATTGTTATTTTTTTGTTTATTTGTTTGTCAGTAACTAAACTGAAGTGATGTCGCAACTTTGTGACTGGCATATCATGCAACTACTAGATAGAGCATTTATGCAGTTCATTGGAGTTCATATCATGTCGTCCCACCAAACAATACTTAAGTTCAAGTTATATCACTAAACTTTAAATACCGATTCTTAAGTTTAGATTCAGCCTCACTTTTTTCATTTCAAACATCCGTGAAATTCCTATGGTTTCTGTGATTTGAAGCTAACTCAAAGCAAGAACCTATGCCGGGTTAATGAATTACAAAAGGAAATTAATTTTGTTAATTGCAAAACTTTTTAACGTATTCAAAAAAGAAGCCTTGTTTAAGTATTTCTTATTATTTTATACATTCGCCATCTTTTCTTTATCATCCACAGGCTTGCTAAAGCGAAAATTGGCGCTAGGCGTATTGCTAGACGAATAGCGAAATGTGGATTTCCGTGTCATTTTAGTAAATATCGTGTAGTTAATATTATGGCTACTTGTAAATTACCATTCGGTGTCAGATTAGAAGAATTAGTCAATGAAAGACCGATGCAAATGAGGTTTGTTTTCGAAGTGTTAATTATTTTTATGGTACATAAATTAGAGCATTTTTTTATTCATTGGTCGTTTTACAGTAAAAGATATGTTCTTGACACATGAAATTAATAAATCATATCTTTAAGCCATTAAAGCTAATAACCACGTCAAGAACGTGATTGGTAGAATTCGACTATCATTCTTCTGTTTTTGATTTCTATACGTCATCCACTTGTCCATGGGGTCAGTCATGGACTGTCCATCTCAGTTTATTTTTCAACAGTTTAAGGTTTTAGTGTCAAAGGGCATACTAATTTCACAGGGGTTAAAGTGAAGTCCAGATTTTCAGTAGTTATCTAACTCGGATCGGTTCTTGATCCTAAGAAAATTCAACAGTCTCCACAACCTCGAAATGTATTTCAAATAGGACTTCTCACTGATTACCCTCAGGTTTCCAACGCTGTTTAGTTTGTTTCTGTTTGTCACAGTCCTCTTGGCGTGAGTCGTAGTCGAGATTAATCATATAGGTTTAGGTGAACATAGATCTATTCTAACGCTAGTGTTCAGTTTATTGTCTAAACATCTTACTTTCCATTAGATTTGCATCTCACTGGATTTATGTAAGATTAACCGTCGAATAATATTCGTAGTACTCATACAACAAATATTTTAAGGTAAAGTGCACACACACTCGGTCGAAGATTTTAGTATACAACTGCACATGTGTAAGTTATATCAGCCCTGGCATGATGGAGGGTGGGGAGAGTCAGCCCTTCCTCTCAAAATTCTCATATAACCATACGTATATAGCCATTGCTTGGGAACCCCTACTCATTGCCTTCTAACAGCGGAGATGTTTAGGAAATTGTGAGGGTGAAGAGCGAAGATCCTGCGCTTCAACGGGGTTGATTGGTACAGATGATCCACCTAGAGGAGTTGGAAAACACTGATTCTAAAGCAATGGTGCATATGGACTCCAAGGTCCCGAGGTAATATATGGCGTACGAACCTATTGTTGATCGCCGGCTATAACAGAACTCCACTTCCCAAGGCTGCTCTACTGTCTTGTTGATTAGACCTCTAGGTCAAACGCTCGGGGTGTGACTTCCTAACATAAACCACTTACTTCGGTTTAAGCACCCGGTAGTATTCTAGCCCACGCACAAATCGAATGATTTGTGTTGCGCATGTATATTTTGGTGCCCTATTTGTACTAGGATAGGATTAGGTCTAAATAACGCTAAGTGCAGGCAAATTAATATATGGGATCAGTCTATAAAGTTGATAAATTTTGATCAGTACATTACTATTAGATGTGGAGTATTTGGTTGGGGTCTTTGTGTTGGTAGCGAATAGTAGTTGAGAGGTCTTGGGTGATGTGGCTCAGAATCTCGTACTGGGGCAGGTACATTAATTCTTTATACTCCCGTAGATTCTGGGTTTCGGTATAATTTCACAATTTTCATTCAGCGATATAATACCTTCTAATCCATTTTATGTTATGTCTTTCTTACTATCATCGAGACTGCTGATATCATTTTAACTCCCGATCTCCGTTTTGCCAGCGTCGTTTTGACGTGATAATGTGGTGTGATAGCTTATGAAGATTCACATTTGTGCTAGATCCGACATTGATTTTTACTTGATTTAATTAAGGCGTGCTGAAACTTAAAGCACAATAATGTATTGGCGGTTTTGTGACTTAACTATGGAAGAGAGTATGGTTTAGCAAGTTAATATTTCTAGCCAGACGACTCAGGGTGCTGCTCTCTCCGAATTCGGTAGAGGATAACGTCGGAACTTATTTAGTCGATAAACCTCATAAGTAGTAGAACTTGAAATCGATAATTATCAGTCGTTAGATTACAGCTCGTGTTTTTTCTCATTATATATATATATATATATATATATATATATATATATATATATATATAGAAGAGAGAGGACTACACGTATTCATTTTTTTCTACCAAAAATTTCTCATTCATTCATAAAAAATGTCCGTGTTAAACAATATTAGACATATTTTCCAGTTAAAGGTACTGTTCTTTCTACCCTTATAAACTGTGTTTCTTTTTTCTCTTCATACTAGTTACGAACCTGAATTAGCTCCTGGTCTCACTTTTAAAACTGATCTTAATTCAAGTACATCTCTAAAACTTTTTTCAACCGGACGAATAGTCATTATGGGTGAGTGTATATTCCCTATGATGTTCTTTTCTTTTTAAAGTCATTTTAACACATTATACATATGTTTGTGTGCACAAATAACAGTTATTACGTTCCTAGCCGATTACTTGATAATTATCTATTTCAAGCTTTAAAGTTTTAAGTGATAGCATATTATTCTCTTTCACGTGATTCGTACCTTCTAAACTGACTAATTAGTTAATTAACCATTATTACTATGTTCTATAGTAATTTCTCTGATTGTTTCGAAGTAATCCCTTAGAGTTATTGAGTATGAATGAGGGGAAACTTCCTCATGATTTCAGGTGTACACTGCAGAAGTCACAATTGATTGATCACTGGGTGGTGATCAATGTCATGCTTGTCTAGTCCTTATTAGTGCAGATCGAATGCTATCGATCATGTTGCAATGTGGTCACCAGTCTAGGTGACTCGACACTGAGGGCACTATATATTGAGATTTAGATGGTGGTTGGAGGTAGTCAACAGGAAACCCTGGACCTGGATTTCGTGCTGCTCGACTGACTGGCCACATTGCAGCATAATCGATAGCATTCGATCTGCACTAATAAGGACTAGACAAGCATGACATTGATCACCACCCAGTGATCAATCAATTGTGATTACATCTCAGTCCTACAGGAGGTCAGTCGCGACTCGGATAGCTCAGTGGTAACGTCTCTGACTGTGAAGCTGGGTGACACGAGATCGAATCCGCCAGGGAGCACCAGTTCCCTCAAGATTACAGGTACGCCTTGCTGACGAGTGCCAAGTGGCACGAAACCCGGGTCCAGGGTTTCCTGTTGTCTACCTCCAACCACCGTGTAAACACTGTAGAAGTTTATAAAACCTATATCAAACAAAGCTTTTTATTAATTATTTTGTGTGAATTCAACAGAAAAAATATGTAGCCATAACAAGTATTTGTCAACTAAGTTATTTTTTAATCAACTTCCAAACATTTGAATGAAATTCTCTGCTTGACTATTTGAAAATAAAACGGGTAATTATTAGCGAACTGGAAACCACAATTGTGTGTGATTGCGTAATCTACTTTTAATCATGTTGTTTGTAGAGCTGTAGTAAAAACATCCAGCTTTTAGCTGAGTTAGGTACCAAGTGTTTGATCCATACTCTTATCTACTTCAGTTTTGTTAGCTGGGTAATATTATTAGCCAATTAAACAAGAAAGCAGAATACCTAAACTTGTTCTTACTAAATGAGTTACATCATCAACTATTTATAACATCAATTTATTTTTAGAGTACTATTTTGGAAATATCAACCTTTATTCTTATTTGTACGTACTCTTGCTTATACATACATCATTTTTGCGCATATTTTTACATGTTATTGAAAGAAATGTTTTAACATACCAATTATATGATGCTTCATCCTTCTCAATATGCTAAATAATTTAGGGAGGGAGCTGAATAAAATCAAAAGCGTTTACATAACAATGAATTTTTAATATCATATTTATCACTGCCGCAAGTAGGTTCACAAAGCAAGATTGCGAATGTCTACAAAGCATACCTCACGGTACCTTGATATTGATGATAGTTGTTAGCAATATATTTGTCTGAAGTCTTTTTGTTTAAGAAATGTCTCTGTTTTAATGGTCACTCAGAATAAGTTCTTTAATAAGTATTGCAATTACATCATTTATGCCTTTTTTAACATCAGGTTCCAGTTTAGATTCAATTGGTACATTAGTCGAGGAACTAGTTCCAATTGCTGCATTGCATCAAACAGATGAACCGGTTCCAGATGTTAATGATATACAAGAACGTGACGAAGCCCATGTAGTGTTAAAAGCAGCACGATACATGAATATGCTGCCAAATAATGGTGGTTTCAATGGATTAGTTTATGATATTGATGATGAATATGAAAATAGCGATGAAAGTGATTTTTATGAAGATGTCGGCGGTGGTGGCGGTGCTCAACATAGTTTTTCTACAGATGATTCAACTGACAGCGGGGCTTCTATTGACAGTGGTGGTGTAAGTACTAAAGTAAAGCGTAGAATTAAAAAGAAAAGTCGTTTATCTACTGTTATGGGTAATTCCATTTCCTCTACATCTCAGTTGCGAAGTTATGATTCATTGCGATCTGGTAGTCCGCTTCATTTATTAACTCCTAGAGAGGCTGCCAGTTTGGCCTTCTCTAAACGTGCAGCTGGAAATATTGAAGATGCTAAAGATTTAGTAGCAACAGCTGGAGAATTAAGACGTCAACGTGAACTGTTACTTCAAAGGACAACTCAAGATAGTATACGAACAGAATCTCGTTCAAATTTTTCTCAAAGTGATCCTACATGGTCTCGTAAAGCTGTTGCTTCAGGATCAACAAAACGTGCTTGTGTGGTCACTTATTCTGGAACAGAGGATAGTGAGTCACAAGATTTGTACAATACTGTCGAACTACGCAGTCAAGGTTATACACAGTCTAATGTTTCTTCAATTGAACAACAACAACACCAGCAACAATTAAAAATTATTCATGCACCATCTTTGATGCCATTGAATTCAACAAATTCTCCGGTACAAGTTTCTACCGTAATGACTCCAGTCAATACTGCTGCCAATTCCTTACAATATGTATTGATTAAACCTTCTACAAGTATTGGTCAAACAGTTTACAACAATGTAATGCCTACTGTTCAACCAACTTTCAGTTATACTACAACACCATGTATTACACCTATACAAACAAATTCTATTGTACAATTGTCCTTGCCATTATCAAATAGTGGTGTGGATGGTCAAAACTTAATAACAACAAGTACTGCATCATCTGCCTCTGTTGCTACGACTAATTCTACTGTTTATCCTATCCGTCTATCCAATAATATTCTGCCCAATTACATATCATCAGTAAATGATGGCAAGGTTAGTCTTAAATTTATTAAGTATCCTTCCACTAATAATAATAGTAATAATAATAATAGTAGTAATGCAGTCATAATCAAATTGCAATAACTATTTGGACTCGATTTCTTTTGTTTTAATGTATATCAGGAGGTTTTGTGCTTGCTAAGCTTGTATATATATATGCGTGTGCGCACTGTCTTCATTGTTTGTGCTCTCCTTTTTTATTTTCTTCCTCCCCAGTGATTTCTATTTATATACACATATCTGTTATATATATTGTTGAAAGATGGACAATTAATAGTAATGGCTTATGGTTCTTTTTCTATCTATATGTCCTGTTAAATAAATATTGAGAAATCAACAACTCATGACTACATCAAGTTTTACAACTATACACACTTTTTTGTATATAGATGTGTGTATACGCGTATTTTTGCATGTACAATATCCCATTATCTGTTGTTTGACACCAGTGATAAAAAATGGTGTTGCTGTGTATTGACAATAGCAATAACTTGTGTGTTTCTTCATATATTAAATTGAAATTTAGATTAATTCAGCCCTAACAATACTCTATTACTTTTGATAACGTTTCTATGCATGTATTATTTAGTTTGTTTTTTCTTCTTTTAAAAAAGAACATTTCTACTGTGTGTATACGTGTGTAATTTCCCAATATGACCATCACCCCCATAGTTTTCACAATGCGTTGATTGTGAATTACTCGTTTTTTGTTCGTTTTTATTTTACAATATAAGATATGATTTATGAAACTGTCAATTGTATGTGTTCGGTTATATGTAGTTTTATTTTTCCCTGTGCCTGTATTCCAGTAATTTGTTCTTGTGAATTTGAATGAACCGTTAGATATATTTCATATCGTTTCATTATACTTGCGTAACATGCTTGGTATACATTTTTTATTTGTTTATAATTATGCATGTACATATGTAGATTTATATACAAGTGTGTATGTATGTATATGTACGTTAGTTTTTGTTTCGTTATTGTCTAGAAGGGGTTGTCAAGGTGCATTTTGTATAACCGTTCTGTATGTGTTAAGCAATAGAAAAAGAGGTGGGTCGACAGTGAAAAACAATTCAATATATTGCATCACATACTATAAGCTCATATCAAAATATTTCTCGTAAGGCTATAAAAGAGTTTTTCATCCTTGAACTTGAATTTTATTTATTCCTTCATATCAATCTCTCACACATACATACATACACACTCACACACATACGATTTGTTACTCAGTTAAGTATTTCCATGTAGTTGAATTCATCACATGATTTGTAGTCAACTGACTCATTTTATCCTATTTTACAAAAAATCAACACCCAAATATGATTGGTTTAACACAGTATAATCCTGATTGTTAAAAGCTATATATTTCTTTGATAATTTTGATTTTGATTATTACCCTGAAGAAGTCCAGACAAGTTAGCTGGACGAAACGTTGGAATTAGTTATATTTCAATCGCTGAGAATATTTCAAATATAATTTTCACATATAATGACTTCTCTATACTCGGCGCTCAATTACTGTCAAACTATTCGTTCTAATCTAGACGAATATTCGTATAAAATATAAAAGAGTTATTTTTGGGTTAATGAAACAGCAGGCCTATAAAAAGTATACAGTTCAAAGGACAAATAAAATATGTATGTAGCTATTTATATGACTAACTATTATCTTGAGTAGTAGATTTTTCATTTCAATAGAGAAAAGGTCTAAACATTGATTTCCTGTAAGTATGCACTCATCGGCAAATTGTATACCTATCAAATTGATGAGAGCAATATGACATTAAGAAATTTCTTTATCGTTGAATTACTTCAATATTATTTGTTTCAAATACTGTCGTTTTTAAATCTGGTTTTACGTTCGCAGCTTTTCTTTAGAGTTTTACAACACTTAGAATTCAATAAAGGCATTTCACTAATTCTAAACCTTTTTGCATTCATGTACAATTAGTCAGTTTAACTGAATTCAAATAAAAACATCGTATGTCATAATCAAATTGTACTGAGAAGAAAAGATTGGAAATAATAAATGAAACTTTGTTTACACTTGTTTAAGAACAGTTAAGCATAGTGCTTAGTAAACACTTTTAACTACGTTTTATGGTCATTAAATCTTTGAGTAATTAACCGTTTTTCTATATTGTGTGACTTTTCCCTCCATAATGAATGTATACTTCCTCATGATTAATTAAATAATCTTTTCAAAAGAACATTTAAAAGATTATGCGCCTTATTACTGCAGACTCATAGCTTTAAGGATTAGGTGTTAATCGCTGAAAAATTAGGTGTTAACCAATCAAACTGATGGATTAGTTCCATTCCACCTCATATAATTCTTCATTTTATTAATTGGATAGTACTTCTCAAACTTCAGATACATGTGCAAGTCAATCCATAATAAATTTATTCATAGTTACATTCATTATTTATATCTCATATCATTCTCAAATTCTAAGTGTATTGTACAGTAAATATGAAAGAGAAAATGTAAATAGTTTTTCTTAAGAGGCTGTGTTTAGTTCCAGCTTGTTACTAAGGCGTTAGGAATTCATTTAAAAGGATTTTTAAGATCATTTTCTATAACTATAATGATATTTTCACAGTGTTTTTTGAACAGAATTCATATTACACATTTGTTACTTGGTATGTTACTTTTTCACTAATGTTTCATTCTTGAAATTCTAATATTTTAAGCTTATAAGTTAAAATCATTCTTCGTCTCATAAAACACATTTGTACTATTTGTCCTCAAGTTTATTGTTATTTGGTAATATAATACATGTATCCACTCAATATTTATATTCTTACTTAATTTCACTTGTTCAGTTACTGAGTCACACTATCATTATGTTAGCTATGTACTTTCCTGTCATAATGAGTTACTTAAATTTATTTCCCGCAAGTCTTCCATGGTTTTTCATTGAATAGAAGTAGGTTATTCCCTGCGATTTGATTTGTAAATAGTTTAAATTACATTATTATTTATTTTATAGCTCTAGTCATTCTGCTTTATTTCAAACTTTTCCACTTGATTAGATGATGAACTTTGCTACTGGTACTCCTTCTAATACGTATACAAATCACTTAATAGGCTTTCCTAATACAACTCAAATATTTCCAAATGTTTATCAAGTTGATCCCAATTCAATTATACCTGGCCAAACTGCTCCACTTGTCTTTGGATCTTCTTTACTCACTTCATTTCAACCTACAAATAATGTTATACATCCACAGATACATTTACCTGCCCCAAATGTTCTATCTGGTTCACCAAATATTTTTGTTGGAAATTTCCCTCCAGGTATTACTTTAAAGACAGCACCTGTACAAACAGTTGGAAGTGTAACTTCAATTCCTTTCACTCCAACATTTGCTTACCAACAACCTGGAGGTTATAATTAATACCTAAAAAATACAGATATGGATATAATCATTCTTTTTTTGTCGCCTCTGTCTTGCACACACCACAACAGTAAATCTCATTGTACATAATACAGCACATACTAGATTTTCTCATTGTGAATACTTGCCAAGAAAAATATCCAATACAGTGCATCAATCATCCAGTATATTTCTTGACTTTATTACACACACAGAATTGTATCTAACATACATAATTCCTTTAAAACTTGATTTCATCATTCTCAACATTTATTATAAAAATAAATACTATTTCAAAAGAACTTGTAAATTGAAATGTTTTATTTTCTGAAATTACTTTTAGTTGTTTCAATTATTCATGTTTGAGCAGTATTTTTTTTTCTTCACCATCAATGATACTATTTCTCTCATTGAAATCATGCTAATTAGACCACTATCAATATTGAACCGCTGTTTTGTTTTCTTTTTAATGAAAAAAAAGAAGAAGACTATGTATGCATTTATTGTTTATTATGTCACGTTTTTCTGTTTGTTCGTTCATTTTTGTAATTTTTATTTCATTCAAATTTAATATCTAACTTTTGTGTTACCTCATCTTTCAAAAATTTAAGGCGAAACAAAATTGAGAACATAGTTTTTCCTAGGTTTAAAAATCCATTTATCTTTGCCGTAATATATATTGTTATATATGTTTGTACCTTTTGAGACATGTATTACGTGGATAGTGGAAGTGAATCTTTTTTTTTCCAAATTAGTTGTTTAGTTTTTTGACGTTTCTTTAGAGTTAAAAATGATCTATGATTTCTAGTTGAACTGAATTAAATGGATCCGTTTTGTGGTTGTTTTGATATTACATCAACTTTGTTTGTTATTTGAAGTGAGATAATATTCAAACTAATTGTCTAGTTATATTTGTATATTTAGTCTTGATGAGTGTTAGGTAGTTCGAGGTAGTCGATATGAATACCTAGGCCTAAATTTCGTGCTATTTAACACTCGTCAGCCAGGTATACCTATACTGTTGAAGCTGCTGCAGCTCCCTGGTTGATTCGATTTCATATCACCCCGCCTCACATTTTCATACGTCATAGTTATTCAGGCTGAAACTGGTCTGTAGAATAGATGTTTTGACACTCGTGTGTTGCTTTATATACTTCCGAAATACTTTGATGCTGAAAGACTATCATCCAAGTATTAAGTGTTATTAAGCTCAAATACGTAGTAAACTTCCGGAGAGTTCACTGTAAAAATGCAAACGTATTAGTATCCTAGGCATCCTACTTCATGATTTATCAGTGAACACTCCCAAATGAAATCGTATTTTCGGAACTCATAACTAAACAACAAATTTCCGATGTGAAACTTTATCGTATGCTGAAAAATTCTAAAATGTAAACTCGGAAAGATGATTCAGAGTTTGTATTATTTTATAGTTTTCCATGTATTATTACGTTAATAACTCGTGTTTGCTGTTTAGTTACCCTATTTGTTGTATGTTATCGTTTGGCTTCATTCAGCAAACAGGAATCTATATCTTAAGATAGTAATGCAAAACTATCAACCAGTTTAGCAAACAAGATAACTCAACCAATGTATACCTCACTGTTCAGTAATTGTTAATGTCCTATAAAATTAGCTGATCACTATACAAATATCATTCGGTTGTGTCACCGCCTCCTGAAGACCTTTCAGATTCTCATGAACATTTATTGACATGTTTTCCAAGATTTTCAGAATTCACATTTTTAATTAGCTCTTAATAAACTATTGTGCTTGTATGTATAATTAACAACTTCTACACACTTATTCTTCAGTAAGAAATATCTTGTAAATGGGATCAAGTACGTTATTGGTGTGTTAATTTGAAAACATGCACTGGCATGGAGGAATTGGAATATCTTATTTCCGTGATGCTTTGCGCCTAGTCATTTGTTTCACTCAAAACTTGTTTCACATATATTGGTATTATTATAGGTTACATAGTTATATACTTCCGTAAGTTGGACGACAAACTGTTCTAGGTATAGGAATTTTTCTGCAACCACCAGTAATTTAAACTGATTTTTACAGTTTGAGCTCTATGGACATTTTTTGTTGATCTGTAAAATTGAGATCTGAGTTCTAAGATTTGTACAATTATTGATAAACTCGTGTATATATTCATATGGATTGAAACGTTATTCTTCTAGTCCTAAAACCACCTTTAAATCCTCGTCCTTCAGTAAAAGTACTTTTTAAGTTTAGCAAGTATGACGCAGCAGTGAGGGAGTAATCTCAGCTTAGAAGGCTGTTAAATAAAGAAGTATTACGAGAATGCTTAATACAATATTAAGTTAGGTTCTGGAGGCCTACATTGTAACTTCGAGTCTTTAAAGTTGTGCATTCTTTCAAATAACTTGGAGCTCCTAGCATAACCAATTACAAACATTTGTTATGAGTTTATCAATAACTCACACCAATTTGTGTTCGTGGGTCTGCGTCAACACCTGAACTAAAGATAGGGAGTGAAGTAGTCGAACACGTTGACAACTTCACTTATCTTGGAAGTCTGGTCAGCCCTAATGGGTTGGTATCGAACGAAATCTCAGCACGGGTTGGAAAAGCTCGTTTGGCTTTTGCCAACTTACGTCACCTATGGCGAGATACCCGTCTATCAATAAAAGGACGAGTATACTGCGCGGCAGTCCGTTCTGTTTTAATTTACGGCAGCGAAACATGGCCATTAAGAGTAGAAGACACACGTAAGCTACTATTATTTGACCGCAGATGCCTCAGAAATATTGCTGGCGTCTGCTGGGATCACCGGATAAGTAATAGTGAGGTTAGACGCAGGGTATTAGGGAAGGATGGTAAATCAGTTGATGAGGTTGTGAATCTTCATCGACTGAGATGGTTGGGCCACGTGTTACATAGGCCTGAACACTGATTACCACGACGTGCAATGCTAACCGGTGTAGGGGATAGTTGGAAGAAAGTTAGGGGCGGCCAAACCAAAACGTGGCATCAGTGCTTGAAGTCACTAACTTCTAGTCTGAGTCATGTTGGTAGATGCAGACTACTTGGTTGGGGTCCGCGTGACTATCGTAACCAATGGTTGGAGACTCTTGATGACATGGCTCAAAATCGATTACAATGGCATCGGTGTATACACTATCTTCCCTTAAACTAAGAGATTAAAATTGCTTCATATCTTTCTTTCTACGAACTACTTCTTTCTTTCTGTACTATATCCTTATATGCAATCTTTCTTTTATATATTACCACATCTGCATTAACTACTTTTATGAATCCGGTGTCCATCTTTTTGTGTTAATGAGGTATGGCAACTTGGACCGATGCATATATGTGCCTGGTCCTACGTTGTAGATGACTGACTGGAAAATGAGAATTAAATTTTCTTGACTGCAAAGAAACAAATACATTACAATGTATCTTATGAAAAGACACAAAAATGGGTTCTGCTTTACAACTATTAAACGATTTGTGGAATAGTAAATTCTTAGGCGTCTTTAGAGTTAAATGACAACAATATGCAGACATGTGTTTTGATTTCTGTAAAGTAAGCTAACTGCGAGTCTTATAGTTTTCATATACAAAATTTATTACTTTTTATTGATAAAAATAGGATGCATCCAGCATTTCTGCATATATATTCAAGAGAATAGGGAATTTAAGGTGTCTTTTTCTGCAGTAATAGAGAGTGGTCTTGTCAGATCGTAGGAATTTCGTCCACTTCTTAGGTGTATTAATCTTTGAAATTAGTAATCTAAATATAACTTGCTCTCTGAAGTTTCAACCAATTCTACCTGGCTTTACTTAGTAGTATTTTAACATCGAGCGTTCCTACAAACTCAAATGCTAGTCTTATAATCTTCTTTTCTAAACTAGTTTAGAATGACCGATATACTTTAATAATTAGACAGTCGTCTCATCTCTATAATAAATAAGTCATATCGAGAGAAATATTCATAACCTTACTGTAATAAAGACAAGCAACAACCCACAATTTGGCAAAACGGCTAATATATCCGTTTCATCTACATTTGATAGTCTTTTTTTTCGTGTTGACATGGGTAATGGTAAAACCGAGATTAAAAGATTATGTTTTCATTTTGCTCTACTTCTTTGTCTTCCTGCTAGTTGTCACCTTTGTTGGCAGCGGTGTCCGCTTCATATGTTTTTTCTTGGAATATCTTTCCGATTTGTCATGGAGGTTTTGTAATATTTGGTCTGTAATATTATATTGGTTTATAAAACACATCACCTGTCAAGTTAGGGTAGTACTGTTCAAAGTTTTCAAGCATAGGTCGGATATTCACTTGTTGATCTGACTTGTCTCCTTATTGCTGAAAAGTTAACTATTATGTTTACCTTCAATAGCTACAAGAATGTAGACGCCACCACCTTCAAGACTTTGAACAGTTTGCTGGTAATTTTGTGAATCACTTAATCCTAAAAGCCTTCCCGAAGTGTCACATAAGTCAAATGTGACTTTTTTGTAAATGCTGGTTAGATAAAAACATACTTTCAGGGTCTATGTCGCAAGCGGTTACGATATAGTTGAGTAGAATTTCAAAGGAACACCACATATTGACTAATACTTTTTTGTTTTCTATAATACGATGTTAGTACTATATCTACTGTAATACCTCCAAATCTGATCCATATAAATGGTCTACTGGTTGGTAACATACCTATCTCTCAACTTTGTAATTTATCTGACAAATTGACGACTAGTTCGATCTATTCGTGTGTAAGATGATGTCTGCTGTTCAGTACCCAATAACTTTCACAAGCTTTTATAAACCGATTGTTTTCTTTGCTCTCGCTTCTTGTTTTTTTCGGTACGGTCTCAGGTATTTGGTAACGTCCTATGGGTGATAGTCCAACCACTCGACTGAATTAATTCTACTCAGTTTAGTAGTTACCTAAGAATTTGTATACCTTGTAGTTTGGGTGAGTGTATTTGTCCCAGGGCAGTAGAATTTTTGAATACCAGCAGCTATCACATTACCAAGCAGAAAGTTGGTTGTCTGCAATGTGGGAATAATGATTTGGTTATTCATGTGCTAAGGGAAGATAACTATTTTAAGGATAAATAAATAATTTACTTGATTGGTAATGTGTAAGAGGATGAAGTCGAAAAAAATAAGAGAAACGGAGATAATTATATGGAAGATAGGAAGTAGATACTGATATACGGTAATGAAAACCGTGGTATTTTATGAAACATGTATCAGACACGGCTGGTTCGAGTTGGTTGTCCATAAATGAGAATTTGTTTGCCAAGTCTTCTCTTAAAGCTATTCGAATAGCTGATATTTAAGCGAAAATGCGACAATTCGGCGGATATTTAGGCGATAAGTCCGTAATTTGTCGACAAAAAGGGGAAAATCCGCATTATTTCCCCCGGACAGGCGAAAAAGGCGACATTCTGGCGCGTTTTCCCCTTTATTTCCCCTTTCGTTACCAAAGCATTTACCCCTTTATTTCCCCTTTTTGGGTTGTCTGGGTTTGATGTGCAATCTTTCGAGAGCTGTCTGGAGGTGCGTGGTGATGATGTTCTGGTAATATGTTCGTTTTGGGGTGGCTCGGTGCACTTAATATGTACGCTCTTATCAAATCACCTCTTATTCTCTTGTAGAACATGGAGAATAATCACTGGTGTTGTGGCCTGCCCTGATATCATTTGTCTTTTAGCCCTATCAATCACTTGATTGCTGGTTTAAGAGAAATATGTCTTATGAAGAGTGAAGCGCAACGATATTGTGTACTTTACGGTGGAACCGAGCATACGTTCTAAACAGTATTAGCTAAATCTCTGTGGTGATTGCATCATGTTGTCTTGGCATAAAGTTGTGAGTTGCGTTTTACATTTAGTGAGTTTTATGTTTAGTCTCACCGTGGTCGCGAGCTCGAGGAAACGTCCTAAGGACATAGTCCACTTCTGATCAGAAAACTTTATTATGTCCGAGAATATCTTTGTCATGATCTTATACTACCTAGTCGACATAATGGCGCTTTCTTCGTGATACAAATCGGTTATAACCAATCTGGCATATATGCCAGATTCGTGTGTCTCACTCTATTTAATTTTTTATCTCATAAATAATTTGTGTAGATGAACAGAAAGCATAAAACTGAACAGTATCATTTATTGGCCATAAAAACGTATTTATTCTACTTGCTATGTAATTTCAAAAAGTAGTCTTTGCCACAGTCATAACAACAGGAAAAATATTTATTTAAACAAAAAACAGAAAGTTGATCACACTTTTCGTCTATATTTAAAAAAAGAGCTTTAAATACAGTCATGGTTGTGAGAAAATCAGTTACTAATGGGATAAATACAAAACACCCGATAGACACGAAATTGTAACGTCGATATTTAGTTGAAAAAACAACAAGATAAAGAAAAATAAGGGCAGGCAACTAAAAGCAACGCCCCGTTAAAAATTAGTGTAGAGACGTGTCAAAACGTCTGCTTTTTTGTCTGTCATGGAGAAATTATGCACAGTTTTCCGTTTTTTCTATCCTGTTTCAGATGTCTTTGAGTTGTGTACTTTCCGCCAATTTTTCCTATTTTCTGTCAAATTGTCCACTGTTCGCATAAACGCTCGACTAACTTATTAGTACACGGTTGATTAGATGCTTTATCGTTCACTTTCCGCCTAACTCCAAATGTCTCCCATGTTCGTTGTTATTTGATTAGTTTACCACTAAACACTATTTTTCACTAGTTAACTTGAAAAGTAATTTCTAGTCGTACATCCCCTCTTGTACACAATCATTTTTTAACCTATGTATATAGAGAGAGATTGAGAGTGATTTATCGGATTGTTAGCCATGTTTAGCTGCTTCAGTCCTCTCGTGTTTGGTCAACGTTATTTAGTTTTTAGAGCTTACTTCAAGTTACAACGGACTTGATTTCATTATTATAACCTTCATTGGATTGCTTTATTTTACTATGAAACTGACTAATAATTTTATGCATATCATAAGAATCTCTTGATATTCTTTAAACATAGCGTAATAAGGCAGACTCTCTATCAACCTGTTACTTACTGAATCTATATTACCATCTCTTTCCTATCTAAAGTGCTCTTAATACTTTATCGGCTTATCTCGTTTGCTTTCGGACTGAGATCTGTAACTAGAAGAGAATTAAGTATATCAAATGTTTGACCTTCTTTCTGTCTTTTATGATACCTGCCAAACGCTCCTGTGGTTTGAAATTCTGGCTTCTACCTATATACCGGTCATACGTAATCCCATATTTATAAGAAGTTTTTATTTTAGCACTTTTTTTTACACCTGTGAGTACTAAGAGAGTATGTTGTTTTTGATGGAATTTCGTTTTCTGGTCTGGATTGTTTAGTCGTATAGCTTTCATCGTTCTGCGGTTTGTGATGATGTTGTTCAGAAGAACGATAAAAGCTCCACGACAAAATCATCCATCTCACAGAACAAGACTCCATAAACCTCATCCACCTGAGCTACAAATCTTTACCAAATCGGGGTATTTTTTCCTCTTTATTGAACAACATTTTATTCAATCAATTGATAATTTATAAACAATGAGGATCTGGCTTTGAACAGCACTTATACGTATCTTATATAAAATGGGTACACTCCTCCACAGACTCTTATGATAGGCTAAGTTGCAAGTGCAGGCTTTAAACAGTCAAGACAATGAACCAAAGAAATTAGATCGCTATTTAACGATCTTTGAAACCCAGGGGCTAGTAAGAATGATAATTTAAATATACCCAATCTCACAATAGGTGTATAGAACATCAAATATTACGAGTACGTCGTGAAAACTATCATATGTGGTCAAATAAGTGAGCAGTTTCAGAACATTAAATCTGTTCCTTTATTTCATTCACCGACTCTTTTCGAATCTTAAATAATACAGAAGACGGAAATGGCCAATAACATAAAAGAAAATATACGAAAAAGTATAGACAAGGTACTACAAAAGACGCTTCAAGCGTGAAACAAACAAATTTCGGCTGGTACTACCTCTAGATGAGGTAAAAACATCAATTTATCATAGGTAGGAATAGCTGGATGAAGATTTGGTTTGGTTATTCACAAAGCTGTCGGATTCGAACTCCTGCAGCCAAAAACATACTAACACTAAATCCACAGATATGGTAGTGGAGAGGCTCAAAGGTGTTGTGTCATGTATAAAAAATCATCAGCTACGAATGAGTGACCATGTATAAAGTGAGAATTATGCGAGAGATGCACGAATTGCACTCCGAATTGCGCATAAATATTAATACACGCTCCTTACAAGTAGAGGGTGGGCTTTATCTTCCGCGAGGCAGAACAATCTTGTTATTCGACAGCAATCTGATACGATGACCACCTAAATTATGTATTTTGTGAATGGAAAACGAAAAATCTCTCGAAAACCGAGCGGCTACAAGGAACTTGTTCAATTCTGACTCTGCAAGCAGCAAACTAGAGCGATAGCAGATAACAAGTCGAAATGATCAACGTAATATGCGTGGCGACAAAGACACCTAATAGAAATGTTGGATCTAAAAAGCAAAAACGGAATTACGTTACATGTGAAGTTGGAATGGGATATTTTGGCTTATAGTAACCATATAAAGGCAATAAAACCTTTGTGAGTATAAACATTATCTTTCAGTGTTTGATAAAAATGAGTAATCCATAATTATAGGGTATTTTCACCCTCATTTAGTGCATGAGGGTTGAGCGTGATGTTAGTCATCTGATGCTTACGACAAATGCTTTGTACGGACTCTATATTAGTGCAGTAACGTTTCGCGTAAAAGGATACTAAGTAAGAGCTAAAGCTTGGGACGAAATCACTAGTCAAAACTGCGCTCTTATATATATCATTCACTGAAAAAGTGGGCTGGAAATAACTCAGATGCATATTTCCTAAACATTAAGATACATATGTGATTGTAATGTTGAACAAATCGCTCAACTGGTTTCGTAAGTCTGCGATGTTGATGCTGATGTCATCAGTTTTACTGGACTCACCGTTAGCCGAATTCGATTTGGGATCCTTGAATAAGAAGAGATTTTGAATGACAGTGTCAAAAACTTTAGGAGCTAAAAAGATTTTCATGGCACAACGAGTTATAAGTGGACTTTTGACTTTTTCATTTGTTTTGTGTCTACCACATAAACTCAGATCATCGCTAACAAAAGTATTATAAAAAGACCATCTGTTCAGTGCTTGTGACACCTAATGTAGCTACGATAGGTTCGAATGTACACCATTCCAGGAAGTATGAAAATACAGGAGAACAACCAATCCATTTTAGGAGGAGCTAAATTTTAGTGGAAATTGTTGCTGCAAGGATTGATACAGCTCTTGAAAATCGAAACCCTCATCATTCCAGATCTGACGTCTGGAAATCAAACATACAAGATATCATGCACTCAGCATCGTCAGTTGATTGGAAAGTAGATCCAGAGTCCTCAATGTAAACAGCTTGGGATGTGGGGTAGGTTTGGGTTACTGAGGACTGATGAGACAAAACCTTAGTATCAAAAAGCTCGGAATACCTGTGCCTCGACTCTCCGTAAGTCTCGAAGGTTGTACGAAGAGAAAACTGTCAAAGAACCCATAGAATGCTCTGAAAGTTTGTATTTGTATATAAACCAAAGGACAAAATAAGAGGAAATATTATTGCACTCTG